TGCCCGGCCAGACCGTCCGGTTGTCATGCGACCCGGACTGGCGAATTCTGCATCTGCACCGGTTGGAGGCGGTGGAGGAGGGTGAAGAGGCGACGGCCCAGTTGCTGGCGGCGTGTAACGGTGTCGAGCGTCTTGTGCTGGGCCGGAAGATCGGCCTGACGCATCTGCCCGTGTCGTTGCTACGGCCGCTCGTCCGGTTGACGCGCATCTCCGTGGAGCTGGCCGGCCTGACTCGACTTGTCACGGGCCAGTGGGCTCCGCTCGTCCGTCTCCGGCTGCTTCGCGTCACCGACAGCCGCCGCTTGACGCGACTCGAGCCGGCCACCTTCCGCGACTGTCCCCAGGGTCTGGCCGACGTGTGGTTGAGTCGGACACGCATCGCTGGCCACCTGCCCGACGACGCGTTCGTCAACTGTACCAACTTGCACCGGCTGCATCTGCCTCATAACCGACTCACCGGCCTCGGCTGTGCCAGCCTGCGTGGCCTCGGCCGACTCCGACAGCTCGATCTCTCCGGCAACCGACTCAACGGCGACTTGGCCGACTGTCTCTGTGGCGCCTCGTCGCCAGCAACCGATTCAGCCGATTCAGCTCTTTGGCACACGCCGCTGCTGGAACGGCTCGACGTGTCGAACAACCAACTGACTCGCATCGGCCGTTCCGCATGGCTTGGCCGCGCCGGTCGACTGGCCAGCCTCGACCTCAGTCGCAACCGTCTCGTCTGGCTGGCGCGGTCCGCGTTCGCGGGGCTCGTCTCGCTTCGCCGCCTCCGGTTGGAGGACAACCAGCGCCTCTTCAGTCTGGACACGCTTGACCAATTGTCATTGGCACTGTACACCCTGACGACCGGCGAGACGAACGCGCCGGCACAGTTGGTCAGTCTCAGTTTGCCGGATCCCGCACGTACCGGCCACGTGCTCGACGTCTGTCGGGACGCCCAAATCAGCCAGCACCAGTTGCCAATGACGCTGACGACTGTCCTGCAACAGGTCCGTTGCACGGCCTGCAAGACGAGCCGGTACAGACTGACTGAAAAGTGTACCAACAAAAGCACACCACCCGTACTACTGACTAAGGAAATGAGTAGAAATGCCCCGTTGGTCCACGAGCCTGACAAACTGCCGCCTCAGCGCCAAACGAAAGAGCACCCAAAAACGCCAAGGGAAAACAGTAACTCGTTGATCTACCAACTCGGTCGCAGACTAATCCTTGTTTTCAGTCTGTTGGTCATCTTTCTACTCGTCCTTGGAGTATGCTTCATCTTTTTCATTCTGGCCCACTTTCAACGCAGTCCTCGAGGAAAAAAGCCGCCCTCTGCACAAACACCCCGCCCTGGGCTCACCCTAAAAATGTATCCCGACGCGAGCAAGATCATCGCTACCGCTGGCTATGCTGGTACAGCATGCAGTGGACTCGTTTGCGCTCTGATGCCGATCATCTTGACCGGTCCGAATGCCACGTTTTCAGACCGTCCAAGACGGATGCACGAAGGCGAGTACTCGGAGACGCATTACCCTCCGGGGCGAGACGAAATGAAGACCGGATTGGAAGAAGACAGATACAGCAGCTGTAGCTCAGAGACGGCGCAGTCGGGGCCAAATGAACAAGGAGTGCGCATGAAGCCCGAAATTTCAGACGTCATGGCGCCAAGCCTGTTCAAGGCCACTTCTTCTGCCCACATGTACACAGAAACCAAGAGCGACATGCCATCAGAAACGCTTGTTTGACTTGCTTTATGCCAATCCACTGTATGACTCTTGCAAATTCTGTTCATGCCAGGATAAAAATCCAGAATCTGTTTTTGGTGAACCACATCAGTGACGGTAGTACCATAAGCAATTTTATGCTCGCTCGGATGTAAAAAAATACAATAAGATGTATTCACCCTATTTCGTGTAAGATGATCAAGGACTGGTAGTAGAATTTTCTCACAATGAGATAAGTTTAGAGGTTGTTTGACCTTGTTTTCGCAACATGGTCATATTGGTAGGAATACTCATTGGAACGCACCTAGTCCGGGGTCCATTGTCTGCATGATCATTTCCAAAGTTGAACCGTGGACGTGAAACATTCCCATACTTTAATCGAAGGTATGAAGACCAAGATGGTGTGGCCTAGAATAATTTGTAATGAGATGGTGGGAGTGTCGATGAAGCAAACA